GGCAGGTGTGATACTTGTACACATGACATGTTATGATGTCTGTTGATTGCAACATGTTATAAACAAAAAATGAACATGTATTTACAAAACCCAACATCTCTCTATATATACACACACAATGAGCCGTGAGGGCATCTGCAAATGAGCCAGCCGTTACACTTGAGTGCACACCCACCCGCTCTGACTGGGTTCGGTATCCCAGCTGCTTCGTTTCTTGGGAAGTAAACCCAAGTACACAATATTGCACTTTTGATTTGCGATTGTACGCTTATAATTTTGTTTATATGTTTTTTTCATAACCAGCAATGTATATTATATGTCATGAATAAGTGATTAATTGTGTTTTAAAAGATACAACTAAATAAAAATGAATAATAATTTGATTTTGGTTGTTTAAATAATAAAATGTGACCATTTGTTTAATAAAGATCGGGCAACTAAATAAATAAATGAAAGCGAGTTTGATACATTAACTTATAAGGCGTTTAGTTTCCTCTATATCTTCTAATTCTATGCATGGAAAAGATAAGAAAGATTCAAAATAACGCGTAGAACTCAGTTGTAAAATCATCATCAAAGTTGCAGCTGTAAGTATTTGCAACAATGATCGGAAATTAAATTTCCGTAATGCGTATGAGAACACATATACACTATCAATAATTAGCTAATTGCGTTTATTCAGATGATTGTATTCACTTTTGATCGAATAAACGAAAACTGTGTTTCTTTAGCGATCGATGACGTTATTTGGAGGCTGCTTATTGAATGGACCGATCCAGTCCCGACCGATAAGCCCCACTCACCAGCTCTCGTCTTCGTTTTTGACGTTAGTGGGGTCAACCAACGGTTAATCGCTATGGCGAATTTTGATTGCGCGAATGATGAATTTTGCTTAAGCCCTTGGATGCCCGGTTTTCTTATGACGCACATTTTCATAAGATCTGAAAAGTGAACATTGTGCGTGAATTGCGCTCGCGCGACCCTGGATCTACCTACAGCTATATAGAATTATACACAAATATAGAATATTAAATTTCCTATGCGATGGTGTTACTTCGGCGTTTTGAAATTTAGACACTGCTAAATGTTGTCCGAAGTTTTGTTATTCGTGAAAAACAGTACATTTCTCCGCTTTTTATCGGACACTGTGCGACTATTTTTTTCAATTTGGCGGTGGGCGAGCTGGCTAAGGCGCCAGGCTAGTGATCCAGCGAGGTTGAGGTGTCGGGATCGAGCCCACCTGTGACCAGGTGTAAACACCTTGGAGTCAACTTTGTGTGCAGACTCTTTCAGTGTTGTCACAACCCCTAGTGTACAGTACACAACCCTGTGCACTTAAAAGAACCACGAATCCGTTCATATATGACCAGATGGTGGCCACATGAATACGTGCAAACACCTAGTTGCGGGTACAGCAACGTGCAGTGAACTTGGACAAAGTACTGTGACTATGTGCCCCATTCCACCCAGCTGTGAATGGGTACCTCGTTAGGATGAGAAAGCCACAAAACTCGGTGCGCCTAGTGGCTGCAAGAGTTGTATACTCCTCAGGGAGTTGAGATTGATAATATGATGTGCCGTTGAGAATGACATCCAGTGATCGAGGGAGAATAAATACCAGCGCCTTGAGCAAACACTAGTTGCCTGGATATGTGCGCTATATAAATATCCTATTATAATAATAATAATAATAGAGGCTCTTCATGATAGAATTTTATTGTGTACTTTTGCACATATCTATTTATCGGATGATCCTCTGGTGATGCATGTGAAGGCAGTGTTCCCTGGGAGAAGTCCCATTCGCTGTCTGGGCTGTGTGTAGAGGGGGCAAGGGCCCTGAGCTGATGATGTGCCTTACCAGCCTGACTGTGCCAGGATCACCCGAACCCTCTCTGCTTTATTTTCATCTTTAATCTGTAAAAAATAATAATAATAATAATAATCTTAACGGAAAGTATGAGCGAACAAAATACTGCCCAATATCTGAACGTCATAAATATACATATATATGAAATTCCTGTGAGTTATTATGTATAACGTTATACACTCTATATCTAAAAATAACTTTCAATTAATGTCAAAAATGGATTTTTCTCTATGATGATTCTGACTATATGTGTATTGTCATGTAATTTATACCGGTAGTTTACATTGTAAGTAAGAGAAGAAGCCAGAAATGCCAATAATTACCGTTGTCGTTCTGCGTGATTTTGCGTCAGTCACTTTGACAATTTCGTACAAACATATCACATTACCAGGGGCGGATCCATGGGAGAGCGGGGGTGGGTGGGGGTGCTCACCCCACTCTCCCCCCAAACAAATTCACTCGAGAACATTTCCCCCTGACCTCTGGACTTCATGATATATGTGCACACGTTGGTCAGCTGATGACGTCATCGACTTGACAGGTGTTCAAGTTGTTCAATAAAGGTAATCATGGGCGTATATCTTTGACAACGTGTCGTCAGAGACTTTGAGATCGGACGCTAGAACATGTTCAGTTATCCGTTTAGCCATACACATTTATCAATACCAATACCATTTCGAGCGCCATTAACACTGCCTGTCTATCGGAGTCAGGGAAACCCATATGGCGTTGAGGGCAGTTTGATGATTGAGATAACCCTAATGATTCCAATATAATCCACACAACATCAAAGCCACAAAAGGTCAGGTCATTACACGTAGAAGATTTGTATCTCCCCCAATATATTTGATGTAGCTGATTATATGTACATCACAGAATAATGACCGTGACACAAATATACTCTGTTACAGGTGTTTCACGGAACTGAAATCATTGAACGCTGGGAGGTCGAAAAATGCACCTGTTGGTGTGTCTCCCAGGTACGTTTCTGTATACAGACATGTACCCTAAACAAAATCAAACTACAGAAACCTACCCGGTACCCTAAACGGGGGACGAGTTCATATTCCGCAACCCAAAACTGAAACCGAGTGTAGTTCACCGTATTGCGACTGGCCTCGTGTTTCGTTAAATATAAATGTTACTGTGTATGCTCGTTTCTTATATAACGCAATCAAATTATTATTTATATTATTATTAAAGGATATTTATATAGCGCACATATCCAGGCAACTAGTGTTTGCTCAAGGCGCTGGGGTTTTTTCTCCCTCGATCACTGGATGTCATTCTCAACAGCACATCATATTATCAATCTCAACTTGTATACAGCTCTAAAGTCTAAAGGTGTACATCTAATACAATAGTATGCCAGTTCCGATCAAGAAAACGACTCGATGCGGAATGGACTTGCCCTAACGTACGTTTCTGTATTCTGATTGTGGCTAGGGTATATTTTTGGATACAGAAACGTACCTGGGGTACATATCTGTAGTACCCGTGCCGACAACGACCCTTTCAGCCACATTGATCTTACATTCTAGGACCATCTTAATAAAAGTCGCATGTGTCGATGGTGACATGTAGTTTTAACAGAGACCAGTTCTATTCCCGAGTTGGTTAACATGTTGATTTCAGTCCCACTGTCACACGTCATTTTGCTATTAACGCCTGTGGTCTAGTGGGTAAAGCTTCTGCCAGACAAAGGATGGTCGGTGATTCAATGCCGTTTCCCTCTGCATGGCGCATATGACGTTGGCGGAGCATCTACCGCCCGATGTATTCGGTCGTCTCGTGTAATGTGTGTTATATTTGGGATATTTAGGATTACATTTTCCCAGTAAAGTACAGATAATAGTATCTTTGTTAGGTTGAATCCCATGCGGGATTCGAACCCTCAGGCGCCTAATCGCAAACACACAAAGTCAGCGCTCTAACCCACTCAGCCATCGGTCTTTCCACCTAATATGTTACGTTTGACCACTTTCTAAATGGTATCGTGTTTTCACATATTTCCATATTCCACATAGTTCTGAGCAAATCAGCAGTGCCCCCTGTTATGATCACACATTCCATATATGACATATTAAACCATTTGTTTTGTAGTATAAGTAAAATAAATCGATGCGAAAACGCATGCTACTTATTCTTTGAATCAGAGTTTTTGTCAACTGTTTTTATAATATTTTTACTATACCTTTTGCACAGCTGCAGCTGTGTATAAGTTCTCTGGTCCAGACTGGATTATTTACAGACCGCCGCCATATAGCTAGAATATTGCTGAGTGCGAAGTTAAACAACACACAAACACAAAGAGATAGTGTTTTTCTTCACAGACTCATAACTTAAACCGATGATGTTCTATTTTCGCATGAAAAATATAGTAAGTTCTTACTTACTTAATAGTAAGTTATTCCAAAGTTACACATTTTAGTGTTACTCGTCTCTTCGTCAAGCATTCCTAATGGTGTACATGAATAACTGCAGTCATTGTTTTCTGTCTGGGGGCGGTGGGGTAGCCTAGTGGTTAAAGCGTTGGTTCGTCACGCCGAAGACCCGGGTTCGATTCCCCACATGGGTACAATGTGTGAAGCCCATTTCTGGTGTTCCCCGCCGTGATGTTGCTGGAATATTGCTAAAAGCGGCGTAAAACCACACTCAGTCATCAAATCAAAATAGATTCAAAGAACTATAATAATAATGATGATGATTATAACAATAATAATGATCGAAACAACAATAACAATAATATTATTAATCGACCAACAAGATCAATAACTATTTGTATGTGGCCTACTACTTGTCATTGTAATGTTCGTATTAATAGGTCATTACTGGACCATCAGTTCATCAACCTCACATCATGCAGTTATTACGCCTGGCTGCATTTTCTCGTGTATCACAGGGACTGAACAATGTGAGCGTTGTTTGATACTTCTAATTACCACGAAATCATTTTAGATCTAATACATATGAATTGATATTACAAAGTAACAATCGTTTAAGTTCAATAATCCAATGTCTATGTTATTACGTTGTCAAAGTGCCACTCTCAGAACGAGTTAATTAAAATGAAACTGGCTATATAAGAACCGTCCCCCATGCTTGTCACTAAGCACTTTATACCATCACTGCAATGTGGTCGTTGTCGTCTCTCGTGTCTGTGCTCATACTGCAGTACAGCTGTAGTCTTGCCGATGCTGTCGTCGTCACCACCAAATTGGGGGACGTGGAGGGGGTGAGGACACGCGCCAGCGAGAAGTTCCTTGGTATAAAATATGCTACTGCGGAGAGGTAAGACAGATGAAGGATTTGGTTTATGTTTGTTGTTTTACGCCGCACTCAGCAATAATCCAGCTACATGTATATGGCAGCGCTCTGTAAATAATCGAGTCTGGACCAGACAATCCAGTGATCAACATTATAAGCATCAGTCCTCGCGATTTGTCGCGATTTGTCGCGAAGTCAACCAACACAGATAAAGGACACAGATAAAGGAAGGGAGAGATGGTGAGGGAGGAGGAAGAGATGGGGAGAGATGGTGAGACACAAAAGGGGTGGGTAAAGAGAGTTTAGTGGTTAGTGCATGGTAAGTACTTAATTGCATCACGGCGTGTCTGCTTAATGTGGGAGGAAGGCCCGAAGGCCGTACACGTTTGTCACATCGGTAGAACCAGGTTATGCTTCTATATAGCAAAGGAACTTCATCAGCGATTCCTTCCTTCCATGTTATTCTGACATGTCTGCTGGCCACGGTTAAGTCTTGTACAGGCCTTGAACCGCATTATTTTCCCTCCCGTCCAGCCATTTCTGCAATGCTAAAGCTCTAAATGAAGCAAGTCTAGATTTCCTGCTGTATCTCCCAACTCACTTGGGCTCCTTTTTAATTTATAAGGAATTATTTGTTTCTGTCAAAATCATATATATATATATAAATATATACATATATAAATATATATATATATATATATGTCTGTCTGTCTGTGTCTGTCTGTGTGTGTGTGTGTGTGTGTGTGTGTGTGTGTGTGTATTCAGAGACTAGGCGTTAGCCTTGTCACATTACAGTGAGTGAGTGAGTTTAGTCTTGCGCCAATTGCAGCAATATTCCAGCAATGTCACGACGGGGACACTTGAGATGGGCTTCACACATTGTACCCATGTGGGGAATCGAACCCGGGTCTTCAGCGTGACGAGCGAACGCTTTAACCACCGCCCGCCACAGTATAACACAACGTCTTTAAAACGCCGGTGTCCTCCATGTTGCTGATTGTAAATAACGCCAGTCAATATAACTGTACAACCTGTAAACCGACTGTCGTGTTTTATTGCGAAAATGTTACGACAAGGCGATATTTGTAGATCTGTGCATTTCTTTTATAACTTTCCATACGTAGTTTGTGTGAAAAGAAACAATGAAAATACGGTAGATGTTTAATAGCAACTGTTGTAAGACCGGTAGCCGAGGGTACAAGGTCACGTGACATGTTCCAGGTTCGGCAACCCTGTCCCTCTACATGGACTGGGGTCCTGGACGCCACCGCGATCAAACCAGCCTGCTACCAATACTGCCCCGAAGACGCCAAATTCATCTGCCAAACTGAGGTAGGTGGCGTTGGCATCGTTGGAAATCCAATGCATTAATTTCCGTTCCATTTTGATGAATACTGTTGATTCATTTGCAAAAAAGCTTTTGGAGGTAACGTCACAATTCCCATCTTTCTTATCGCTATCTTAGGAAATGTTTTCACTTGCTCATTGTTGTTATTTGATTGGAGGGTTTCTTGGAGCGCTGGCGGCGATTCCGGCTCAGAATGAGGCTATAGTAACGTATCGGTGAGTGAGTGAGTTCAGTTTTACGCCGTTTTTAGCAATATTCCAGCAATATCACGGCGGGGGACACCAGAAATGGGCTTCACAAATTGTACCAATGTTTGGAATGGAACTTGTGTCTTCTGCGTGACGAGCGAAAGCTTTAACCACTCGACTACCCTACCGACCCTGCACAATGGTAGTTTAGCTTTGTGAAGTACGGTATTCTTAATAGACTGTTTTGACAATGGTGCTACTTGGAGAAGTTCATTGTAGCATTCCTGTACATGTCTTATAGTAAATCCGAACTGTTGCTTCGGGGGCGGTGGGGTAGCCTAGTGGTTAAAGCGTCCGCTCGTCACGCCGATGACCCAGGTTCGATTCCCCACATGGGTACAATATGTGAAGCCCATTTCTGGTGTCCCCGCCGTGATATTGCTGGAATATTGCTAAAAAGCGGCGTAAAGCCATACTCACTCACTCACTCACACTGTTGCTTCGATGCCTAAGCAATGCGCAAGTTTTACTCCAAATTCGGTTGGGAACGTCACAAAGACGTTTCAGTTTCGCGAAATGTTAGTTCGTCTCTTTGTATCGTTGAAACCGTTGACCTCTGACTGTCTCCGAATTTGATATTTTTTATTCCGCTGTTGAAAAATGTCAATCAGAATTTGATATGATCTGTTGCCCGATAACTTTGAATTCTCATCAACAGATGTCTGAAGACTGTCTGTTTCTAAACGTCTTCCGACCTTTGAACCCCATGTCCGCCAGTCTCCCCGTGATGGTGTGGATCCATGGCGGTAACTTCGAGAGTACTACAGCGGAGGAAGTGTTCTGTTTGACGGCGAGACCATCGTCTCCAGAGGGGATGTTATCTTCGTCAGCCTGAATTATCGCCTAGGTGAGAGACCTCATTAACCACCTCAACACCACCACAACACGTTAGGGATTGCATGTAAACAACGAACTTTACAGAGTTGACGACAGGGGGTTAACGTGTCGTATTCTCCTTCTATACACATGAGTACCAAAACTATACACAGTGTTCTATACACCTTGAATTCCACATAATAAAATGGCAATTTTATCATATTTTACTCTGGTAAAAAATAACGCAAAACTGAAATTGGAATTTGGTGATAATGTATTTGCAATATGAGAGGAATACACACATACGAAAATATCAGCAATGCCGGGAACTATGGTCACTATGACAACGCAGCCTGTCTGATTGTCACACAGTTAATGAGTGTTGTGCTTGTATGAACCACCACTGGCGATCATATGGGTACCTGGTGTAAACTTACCTCGTACGGAAGGCATCTACTAGTGTCCTCATCATCAAGCAATCCTTATGTCCCACGCCTTGATATTGCTGGAATATTGCTAAAAGCTGCGAAAAACCATACTCACTCACTCACTCACTCATTGCACGCCCGGGGCGGTGGGGTAGCTTAGTGGTTAAAGCGTTGGCTCGTCACGCCGAAGACCCGGGTTCGAATCCCCACTTGGTTACAATGTGTGAAGCCCATTTCTGGTGTCCCCCACCGTGATGTTGCTGGAATATTGCTAAAAGCGGCGTAAAACCAAACTCAGTCAGTCAGTCAGTCATTGCACGCCCCTTTTGGAATAAGGGTGCCGCTTGAAATTCTGTCGCCCTGCCCTTTTTGGATCCTACAGCACGAGTACATATCTCGCTGTTGAGGTAGTGTGTGAAGCAGGACCTTGACATGTGCATTCCAGCGTGCTCGTGTATGATTGCCTGTTTGGACCATTTTTCTGATGATAGCCCTTGCATTCATATGGTGTTTAATGCTCCTGTGTATATATGTAGGCATTATATCAGTGATGCTGGACTCATCTAGGCGTATACGAATCCTTGTGAAGTAAAATATTTTAAAGATAGTTAAAATGGTAACATTTTATAGCCAATTAATCATTTTCATTTCACACTTGGCATGAACAGGTCCATTTGGATTTCTGGCACAGAGCGACGGCACAACTGTCTATGCTGGTAACTATGCCATCAAAGATCAACGGATGGCATTACAGTGGGTCCATGACAACATCAACGCTTTCGGCGGGGATCCATCACAGGTGGGTGTACTCAGTTGGACCACCGGCATGTGACGGTAGATATACCTGCTGTGTTTTCAGACATTCACAGGGTTTTCAGTGATCCATTTAAATTTTCACCTCTATTTTGGCTTGTAATGCCATTCCGGCGGGTGATCATGACTGTTTATTCTTTAACGTTGAGACCCCTAAAGATCCGTGTTAGAACTGGGCCTCGTTTCACAAAGCTCTCGTAAGCCTAAGATCTCGTAACTTTTCTCGTAGCATTCGAATCTCCTATACTGTAACATAGGAGGTACGAATGCTACGAGAAAAGTTACGAGAATTAGGCTTACGTGAGCTTTGAGAAACGGGGCCCAGGATCTTCAGTAACCCATTCTTGTCGTAAGAGGCGACTAACGGGATCGGGTGGTCAGGCTCGCTGGCTTGGTTAACACATGTCATCGTATCCCAATTGCGTAGATCGATGTTCATGCTGTTGATCACTGGATTGTCTGGTCCAGACTCGATTATTGACAGACTGCCGCCATATAGCTGGAATATTGCTGAATGTGGCGTTAAACGACGCACAAACAAACAAACACCTCTAACGTTGGTGTTAAATATATAAAATAACCCATTCATACTACTAATCATTTGTTCTACCATCAGATAGGAATTTAGTAATGGATGTTTTCGCTGTGTAATGAACAACGTTTCAGAAGTTTAATGGAGGTTTTCATCGGGTATTTTGTAATGTTGTTTTTAAAGGTAACGATCTTTGGAGACAGTTCAGGCGCTCAATCCGTGGCAATCCATCTCACTTCCGGTAAAGCTGACGATCTCTCCACCAGGGCCATCATGCACAGCGCCCCCTTTGGGATTTCGTTCAAAAATCCGGCAGAGGGAGCATATCAGGACTATCTTCTTCTCGCAAAATCTCGGCTGCACACAAGGGAACATTTCGTGCTACAAGTCCAAAACATCAGCTGAGGTGCTGACTGCTTGGCAAGGGACGTCCATCTACGTATCAGACAACCCCTACCTATCACTGGAGTCATGGGGCCCGGTTATAGATGGCGATGAAATCAAAGGAAGTCTCGTGGAACTGTTCGAGACCGTGACCAATATAAACAAGGAAATACTGATCGGTTCCACATCTGAAGAATCCGTTGGAAGCATTTACGATTACTACACCACCGCCGTGGACGAGGCGAGTTACAGGGCCGCCATGAGTTACTTCGAACCTGACAATTCCACGCAGATCATCAATGCCCAGTATCACCCTGTCGCTGGCGACAACCGCGAGAACCTGGTCAGCTTCATGTCCGACAGGCTCTTTTTGTGCTCAGCCAGATACGTGGCTCAGAAGCTGAGCGAACATTCCAAAGTGTGGTGGTTCATTTTCGATCAACCTGTCCCTTTCCCGGAATTCTGGGGAGATTCCTTAGACTGTGTGGATCGGGTGTGCCACCAGGCTGATGTACCGTTCCTGTTCCGGGCACCTGCCCGACTCGGCTTCAACACGACCCGTGCTGATGAGAAGGTTTCCGAGCAGTTGATCACCTATTGGCTTAGTTTTGCTAATTGGGGAACCCCCAATGCCCACTGGCGGGATCTCCCAGTAAATTCGCCGTTCAGGCTGAGATCCAAAGATCTGCCTCTGTGGGTGGAATTCCGTAGCAATGCAAATGGCGCTACCAAAACATAAGATTTACCGAGCCTGATCCTGTCAGCGACGTTAACCGAAACAATGCCAGGTGCGATTATCTAGATAGGATCGGTTATCAGTAGCTGGAAACAGGGCTTGCGAAAACGACTTCAGCGCTACGACCATCGTAAGCGTGTTGCATGGACACGATAGGGTCGTAGCGCTAAGGTCGCTTTGTGCATATGAACCCTGGACTTTCTTTAAACATACAACCAGAGACAGAATGAAGTACAATTAAACAACATTGCTAGGTGAAATTATTTTGGTGTGACCGGTTATGAGGAGCAGGAAACAGGGCTTGCGAAAACGACTTCAGCGCTACGACCATCGTAAGCGTGTTGTATGAACACGACAGGGTAGTCTTAGCGCTAAGGTCGCCTATTGCATATGAACCCTGGTATTTCCTGAAACACATAACCAGAGATGAAATTAAATACAACTGAATAGAGGCCATAATAAGTTAATCATTAGATTTTATTCCCTGCTGCCTCGTTTCAACATAACGTACCTACCGATATGAAGGTTATCTTGTTAATTACTTGATAGTTTCCTTGTTTTATTACCTTATAAAATCTACCATAATGGTAGTCTTTCACTAATTCTTTATGTGAATCACAGTATTTGACATGCTGTTACTGAACTAGCCCGGTTTCTTTTGGTTAATATAATTATTTAAATTTTAAAGAAAAACTATTTTAATTCTTATGTGTCGTGATCGAAAAATTCTTTTTTCAGTAACTACAACGCGTAAAGTTTAATATTTTAACATATTTTCAATTATTTATCAATTTTGAATATACCGATTATACAGATTTTGGGTATATTATACATTTATGACTTCTATGACATCAGTCTAAACCATGATAAATTATCAATGAGAGGAAGAAAGACCTATTTTATGAATGATTCTTGTAATAAATTCTAGATTCTGGTAATGAAACAGTTTTGTGTTTTTGTCATGATGACGCCAGCCTCTACATGCTTAGTACTCAAGCCGTGATCACGTAATCTGATGGCTGATATTGTGAGCATCGATTGGGATACCACGGTTCTGACTTGTCCCACAGATTACCTCTCGAGTCTCACCGCCCGACCCATCAAGTGGCCTCAGGGGCGGTGGGGTAGCCTGGTGGTAAAAGCGTTGGCTCGTCACGCCGAAAACCCAGGTTCGAATCCCCACATGGCTACAATGTGTGAAGCCCATTTCTGGTGTCCCCCGCCGTGATGTTGCTGGAATATTCCTAAAATCGATATTCAGTACATATACAGACCCTCAGTACATATACAGACCTTCAGTACATATACAGACAATCAGTACATATACATACACATATACAATCAGTACATATACAGACCATCAGTACATATACAGACCATCAGACCATCAGTACATATACAGTACATATATCAGACCATCAGTACATATACAGACCATCAGTACATATACAGACCATCAGTACATATACAGACCATCAGTACATATACAGACCATCAGTACATATACAGACCATCAGTACATATACAGACAATCAGTACATATACAGACCATCAGTACATATACAGACAATCAGTACATATACAGACAATCAGTACATATACAGACAATCAGTACATATACAGACAGACCATCAGTACATATACAGACAATCAGTACATATACAGACCATCAGTACATACACAGACATACACAGACAATCAGTACATATACAGGCCTTCAGTACATATACAGACCATCAGTACATATACAGACCATCAGTACATATACAGACCATCAGTACATATACAGACCATCAGTACATATACAGACAATCAGTACATATACAGACAATCAGTACATATACAGACCATCAGTACATATACAGACCATCAGTACATATACAGACCATCAGTACATATACAGACAACAGTACAATCAGTACATATACAATCAGTACATATACAGACAATCAGTACATATACAGACCATCAGTACATATACAGACCATCAGTACATATACAGACCATCAGTACATATACAGACCATCAGTACATATATCAGTACATATACAGACCATCAGTACATATACAGACCTTCAGTACATATACAGACCATCAGTACATATACAGACCATCAGTACATATACAGACCATCAGTACATATACAGACCAATCAGTACATATACAGACCTTCAGTACATATACAGACAATCAGTACATATACAGACCATCAGTACATATACAGACCAATCAGTACATATACAGACAATCAGTACATATCAGACAATCAGTACATATACAGACAATCAGTACATATACAGACCATCAGTACATATACAGACAATCAGTACATATACAGACAATCAGTACATATACAGACAATCAGTACATATACAGACCATCAGTACATATACAGACATATACAGACCAATCAGTACATATACAGACCATCAGTACATATACAGACCAATCAGTACATATACACAGACCATCAGTACATATACAGACCATCAGTACATATACAGACCATATACAGACCATCAGTACATATACAGTACATATACAGACCAATCAGTACATATACAGGCCTTCAGTACATATACAGACAATCAGTACATATACAGACAATCAGTACATATACAGAGTACAATCAGTACATATACAGACAATCAGTACATATACATACATACAGACCATCAGTACATATACAGACCATCAGTACATATACATATACCAATCAGTACATATACAGACAGACATCAGTACATATACAGACAATCAGTACATATACAGACCATCAGTACATATACAGACAATCAGTACATATACAGACCATCAGTACATATACAGACAATCAGTACATATACAGACCATCAGTACATATACAGACCATCAGTACATATACAGACAATCAGTACATATACAGACAATCAGTACATATACAGACCATCAGTACATATACAGACCATCGGTACATATACAGACCATCAGTACATATACAGACCATCAGTACATATACAGACATATTCAGTACATATACAGACAATCAGTACATATACATATACATATACAGACCATCAGTACATATACAGACAATCAGTACATATATCACACATATACAGATAAATCAGTACATATACAGACAATCAGTACATATATACAGACAATCAGTACATATACAGACCATCAGTACATATACAGACCATCAGTACATATACAGACAATCAGTACATATACAGACCATCAGTACATATACAGACCATCAGTACATATACAGACAATCAGTACATATACAGACCATCAGTACATATACAGACCATCAGTACATATACAGACCATCAGTACATATACAGACCATCAGTACATATACAGACAATCAGTACATATACAGACCATCAGTACATATACAGACCATCAGTACATATCACACATATACAGACCATCAGTACATATACAGACCATCAGTACATATACAGACAATCAGTACATATACAGACCATCAGTACATATACAGACCATCAGTACATATACAGACCATCAGTACATATACAGACCATCAGTACATATACAGACCATCAGTCAGTACAGACATCGGTACATATACAGACCATCAGTACATATACAGACAATCAGTACATATACAGACAATCAGTACATATACAGACCATCAGTACACAGATACAGACATATCAGTACATATACAGACCATCAGTACATATACAGACCATCAGTACATATACAGACAATCAGTACATATACAGACAATCGGTACATATACAGACCATCAGTACATATACAGACAGGACCATCAGTACATATACAGACAATCAGTACATATACAGACCATCAGTACATATACAGACAATCAGTACATATACCATCAGACCATCAGTACATATACAGACCAATCAGTAGTATATACAGACCATCGGTACATATACAGACCATCAGTACATATACAGACAATCAGTACATATACAGACCATCAGTACATATACAGACCATCAGTACATATACAGACAATCAGTACATATACAGACCATCAAGTACATATACAGACCATCAGTACATATACAGACCATCAGTACATATACAGACCATCAGTACACATATACAGACCATCAGTACATGCACCGGATACAGTACATATACAGACCAATCAACATATCAGACCATCGGTACATATACAGACCATCAGTACATATACAGACCATCAGTACATATACAGACCATCAGTACATATACAGACCATCAGTACATATACAGACCATCAATCAGTACATATACAGACCATCAGTACATATACAGACCATCAGTACATATACAGACCATCAGTACATATACAGACCATCGTCTTCGGTCATATACAGACATATACAGACCATCAGTACATATACACAGACAATCAGTACATATACAGACCATCAGTACATATACAGACAATCAGTACATATACAGACAATCAGTACATATACAGACCATCAGTACATATACAGACCATCAGTACATATACAGACCATCAGTACATATACAGACCATCAGTACATATACAGACCATCAGTACATATACAGACCATCAGTACATATACAGACCTTCAGTACATATACAGACCTTCAGTACATATACAGACCATCAGTACATATACAGACCATCAGTACATATACAGACAATCAGTACATATACAGACCATCAGTACATATACAGACCATCAGTACATATACAGACCATCAGTACATATACAGACAATCAGTACATATACAGACAATCAGTACATATACAGACCATCAGTACATATACAGACCATCAGTACATATACAGACAATCAGTACATATACAGACCATCAGTACATATACAGACCATCAGTACATCAGTACATATACAGACAATCAGTACATATACAGACCATCAGTACACCATATACAGACCATCAGTACATATACAGACCATCAGTACATATACAGACCATCAGTACATATACAGACCATCAGTACATATACAGACAATCAGTACATATACAGACAA